AGGGATTGGGCCTTATTCAAACCTGTATGTACTTTTTGCCATCGGGGTACACCAAGCTAAATTTACGTTGTTGACAGAGCCACATTTGTGGGAGGAGCTCGCGTATGTCTTGGGTAAGAAGTCATTTCTCAAGGTTATAATCACACCACTGACTCCCACATTCCTTCACGGTTTACTATATTTAAGATGGCGACTTGCGTATGTATACTGATGGTTCCCAGCTTCCTGTTTCTTCCGTTAGCTGACAACGGCTCCTTTTGCTAGTGTTCTAGAGCTACAGGTCGTCCTTTTCGAACTTCTATCAAAGTTGCGATTCAATTTGACTGCTGAACAAGAGAAAAATGTAGCTGGATCTCTCGCTCTAACCCTCTTCCCACTTGATATCAGCAGTGGAAAACCGGGACTCTCACTCCTTGTACAACCCACACAGGCTGAAGAAAATGGAGACTATATCCCACAAAATGCTGATTGAATTCGGGTGGACAAAGATTGGTGTACATCAGTAGTTCACTTAAACTCGATACCCGCCTTCCGAACCCAATGATCTCTCCGACATTCATTTTTGATCTCGCCTGTGCATTAACCCTATTAATGACCATTCATTATTATCCTCCTTCCAGAGGGCTTCATACACGGCTAGGTTTCGCAAAATCCCAGTCCAAAAGGTATGAAAATCTGAGATAACTGATAGATATACGAAACGGTACCTCGGAAGGTGTATACATGCTTCCTCAGTGGCTAGAGCCTCCTTAACAAAGGATGATCGGTCGTATCCCAACTTGCTCCGACGTCTGAGTACCGAGTAATGGTAGATATTGACCCGTCCGTGGGTGACCTTCCCTCCGCTCCCATCAAAGTCGGCCTTGCTTTCACCATTTCTCCTCAAAGAATCGCCACATCTCAAACAAATGATGGAATCGACTGAGTTGACTGACCGACGTTACCTCGAAAGGCGACAATGCTTATTTACGACAAGAGCAGCCTGTACTTGTGAGACTCGTCCCGAGCGTGCAAGTTGTGGACAGGCTTGACAATCGGAGATGCCTAACTTTCCAGCTTAGATCAGTTCGGGTATGCAAGATAATTGGCCTATTAGCATTCGGTTTCGATCAAATGCGCCCTGTAGAGATAATTGAGGAAAACGGCCCAGGAAATTGATAGGAATTATCACTCTAATAATCAACCTCGAGGATCTTTCGTTGTCTTCGACCTGCACAACTTATTGATATTTTCATGCATGCATCCCACCGTCTCAGACCTCTGGCTATCATCTCGTTATGGTCCACAGTATAATCAATTGGAGGTGTCAAGGTCAGAAGAAAACGTGCACGTACTCAGTTTGAGTCGGGATATGCCGGACCGCCACTGCGAGAGGTCGTCGGACCACGCTTCCTTCTGATCATCGACTCACTCCATTTTCTACCACTCGACAGTTGTTACCGTTGCCTGATAGATAGGAGGAGCGCCCCTGGCAAGAATGGCAGCCACAGGATGCCACAATTCTTCGACCGTCCGTTTCCGTCGGAAATACGGGACGCCTCACGACCATTTTTTGAATATTGTACTTCCTCATCCACTGGTGACTCTGATTCATTCATTTATGGTCATTGAATCTAATTCACAGATTTTCCACTGAATGCTCAGCATATTCATCACATCGCAACCGCAACATCTGTTTGACTACAAGGTTGAAAAGGAACCAATTTTACGGAACAGCTTTACCCGGGGTAGCCGCCAACCTGTTCTGTATATCGTCCAAACGTTATCTCCCATTTTTCGACTGCATTAGTCCCTGGCCAAGCTGCACGTTACCCTTTTCCTATCAGGATATGGAAATCCTTGCAAGGAACAGAAAATTAAACACAAACCTTAAAGCTACTTATATAAAAGTGCACCCCGTTTGGTCATTCCTCTGTTTCTTTCCCCATTACTATCCGTGCTATGGATCTACCGTTAGACCCTTTCATTTTCACTCACTCTCCCTCGTTAGTTCCGATTACTGTCGCTATTTGTGTCGCAAGCGCAGTGCTGCTGGCCATCTTGCGGTTCACAAGTCGTCGTGACGTTGTAAATATTCAAGATATTCCGGGGCCAGTCGATAACGCCTCGTGGCTATACGGTACGCCAATTTTTTGTTCCCGAGCCATTTTTCTATGCCAGTTCACTTTGGTTTTAGGAAACCTCCCAGAGCTGCTCTCATCCCATCCTTACGGCAAATTCCAGTTCGAATGGCAGAAACAATTTGGGTCTACATATCGCCTCAAAGGATGTTTCTCTGTACGTGCCCTTGTTCGCTCTCAATCAGTTGTTGACTCAATACAATACCTGCGATTGAAACAGAAAGATCTCCTTCTGATTTCGGATCCGGCAGCTCTCCGATTCATCGTTAACAGTCCTACACTGTTTGATCTCAGTCCGAACCGAAGTTTTGTTATACAAACGTTACTTGGAGAGGAAAGTCTTCTAGCACTGCGAAACGGCGGTAAATAAGATTTGTTGTTGGATTCGTCCGTTTCAAATCCCCGTTGAACGTTATGTGGCGAAAATGAACAGGACCGTCCCATCGTCGAATCAAAAATGCTTTATCTCCGGCTTTCACTCTTTCACGTCTCCAACCATATATTCCTATTGTGCGAGATATCGCTCGGAAGGTAAGTCGTATACTTCCACTTCATTTTACTCGAAGACTGACGGTTCCGAAATTTTGGAATCCGCCAAGGCAACGAGTAAGATCATGCAGAGATGCTTGGACTCGCACTCGAAAGGGGAACAAAATGCCACTGTCAACATTTATCATCTCTTTCAGCTTGTAACATCAGACACAATCGGAGAGGGTAAGTGCCCGATTGAGACTCCCTCTCCCTTGGGTGCCCACTGCTGACTACAACTCGGGTACCATCAAAAGTGGGGTTTGGTCATAAGTTCAACGCTGTGGAAACCAATGGAGAGGACAAGGTTGTCCAAAGTCACCAAAACCTACTGTACGTATGGATATCCTGCGGAAGCACATTAAACTCTCTGATGGACTCACCGGGTGTGCTAGTGTACTAGGCTCGAGACGCACAAAAAGTGCGATACTGAGGGATGGGGTTTTAGCCTATCTTCCTCGTGGATTACTCAACGTCATGCGCTACCTCCCGACACAGACATCGAAGACACTTGAAATTTTCCTGAAACTCACTGTAGAGTGGGCTGCAGATTGTCAAAAAGCCCAGAAATTAGACTCGAATGCCACGGATCAAGGGTTACTTGGCTCTGTCGGTACGTATATGAGTAAATCTCCCGTTAGCTTTTGAAATTCCAAGAATTGTTTTTCTTTAGCCAAGCGACTCTCTCATGAATCCATTTGTCGACAAACTCCAACACTTCTAGTTGGTGGACAGGATACGACCGTACGTGTATCCGCCTGGTTTCAATTTCCCGACCTTCATTATAAATTTTCACGGCATCTTTAAAAGGCAAATGCACTGTCGTGGGCAATATATGAGCTTGCAAAGAGGCCGACGTGGCAAGATCAGGTCAGAAAGGAAATATTCAAAGCCCAAGATGTGGATTTAAACTTGGACAAACTTGGATACCTCAATGCACACATCAAGGTTAGTTACGGATTCACCCAATGATCTCACGCGTCATGAACAAGGTTCAAAGGAAACTCTACGGCTTCATCCGAGTGGGCCCCTTACCCAGAGAATGGCTTTTGAAGACACTGTGCTCCCGTTATCCCAGCCGTTAACCACGATTTCCGGCCGTGTGATTACTGAGTTACCCATCAAAAAAGGTCAAACAATTCAACTCGGAATAGCTGCTTGTAATCGGTGTGTTCATTTTGACTCTTGATTTTATCGAAAAGTAAACTTGTGAAATAAAAGAGATCCTCTTATTTGGGGTTCGGATGCCTCTTTATTCGATCCAATACGATGGCTCGACGGCCGATATGACTCCGCGAATCTTCCAGGGATAGGGCCGTATTCGAACCTGTATGTATCCTTTGCTCTCCGATACACCCTCCATCTCTTCCAAACTAAATCTGCATTGCTGAAAGAGCCACATTTATGGGAGGGTCTCGCGTGTGCATTGGGTACGAAGTCACCGTTTAAGAATCATGATCATGATCTGACTTTACCACCTATCATACTCAAGTTGGCGACTTGCGTATGTTTACTGATAAATCCGAGCTTCCTCTTCCCCATTGTCTGACGAGGTTTTTTTTTACCAGCATTCTAGAGATGCAGGTCGTCATCTTCGAGCTTATATCGAAGTTCCGATTTAGCATAAACCCTGAGCAAGAGAAAAACGTAACTGCGTCTCTCGCTTTGACCCTCATGCCTTTAGATCTCAGTACTGGAAAGCCGGGACTCTCACTTTCAGTGCAACCGACACAGGCTCACAAAAGTTGATTCGTGTACAAGACTCGGAAATGGATAGCTCACTTAAACTCAATACTTAAGCCCCCTTCTGACCTTATTGTTGGTCTTCCGGGTGTGAGTGATTAGATGTTGAGAATTAAAGTAGGTTTGCAATTTCACTGAACGGGAAGATTGGCTTGAATTAGGGCAAACCAGTGAGGAAGCCCAGTGTCTACCTACATCTTTATATACCCTACAATGTATCTAGAATATTCTACAGTAAGTGAGAATGCTGAGTAAAAAGCTTGGAGCTTGAGTCACTACAGAAAGTTCTGGAATACTGGTGAGAGTACTCACACAGGCTTGCTGCTTCCACAGCCCAAATCTCAACACTTATTTAATCCCTTTGGCATCCTTTTTCAATTAACTCAATCATTATTAGTCGTAAATTGTCAAGGGCATGTCTTCCCACATAGATGCGTCTCCAAATGGTAAATTTGTAGCTATGTATGTGCCGAAGGCAACCCCTCGTTATCTTAGCTTCAATTACCTGCACAGGAACGTCTTCAATTAGAGACATGCATGACGGAATGGCCACTTTGGAATGGAAATTAAAAGGAGCAGGCAAAAAATCGACATTATCTTATTGCTCATTGACGAGAGTGGGATTCGAACCCACGCCCCGAAAGACCAGATTTAAATGGGTATCAGATACCCTGATCCTTAGTCTGGCGCCTTAGACCGCTCGGCCATCTCGCCATGTTATCAGCTGCGAAGGTTCGACCTCACGCATGACCGGTGACCAAGGGCACGCTGAGAGCGTAGCTGTAATCCGATTCCATCAATTATAGGCGTCATTTTCAGCTCGTAGATCGCTATGACGAGATAAATATCATATATCTTTAGACATCGTGCAGACTGTTATTGAAAGGTTGTTTTACTAATACAAATCGTGTTTATGAATGAGAACTTAGAAGAAGGAACTCCGGGTGATAGTTTATACCTACCAATCAGACACCACCTAACTGTCGTCGAATAACGTTAGTAAGGTCGGCCTGTAAATCATTCATCATCCTAGCCACTTCCCCAGCCATCCTATCCGCTCTCACTTCTCGTAATGACGCCCTTTCATAGTCCGCTTCTTCCAATTCTCTTTCAGTCATCAAACCGCCGGCCTCCGTCGCTTTGACTTGTTCTTCCAGTCGATCAACCCGAATATTGGAAGTTCCAATTCGTGCTCAGGAGCTTTCTTCTCCTCTGCTACCTTACTAAACACACGAAAGAGCTCATCTCTCTCTTGCATCTCCTTTGATAACTTTCTCTCGTTCTCACGATATTGTTGATCTTGTTCCTGTTTCTCCCTCTCGAGTTCTTGAATTCGGCGTGTCAACAAGCCCTGGTTCTCTTCGAGGTCGACAATCTTCGTTGCCATTCCCTCCTTCTCTGTCTCCATCGCACGGTGGTGAGTGACCAGCTTGTCGAGTACTCCCAGTGCTACCATCTGCTGTTGCGTCATTTGTTCAAAGGCATCTTGCCTGCGTCGATATTGCGCGACAATATCCTCTACGGCGGTAAGGAGGGGTGGAGAAGATACGTCAAGCGGAGCAGGTGCGTTCGATAGGCCACCGGCTACATCCGCGTCCGCGTGGATTGTTTTAGGAATGAGGGCAGGTCCAGAGGTCGATGATAGGCGCCCGGGATGCGTTCCCTGTATGGTTGATCAAAGAAGTATGAAAGAAAGTTGAAACAGAAGTCACACTCACGTACCACCGCTGGTCCATACTGCCATACGCTCCTCTTTGACTTCCATATCCTGAGGTTCACGGTTGACCTGCGCGTCCTTTGTTCAGGTTTTAGTTGAATAGAACTTCGGCGTGGACGGTCAAAGAAAAACGTGCCATTGAAGACTGAAAGCTGATCTGAGGGTTTTCACAGGATTGCTGTTGGTTTTATGAAGAACAGGGGAGTACATCGTCAGCTGGAGTTCGCGAATTCGAGTGGTATAGTGCACTCACCTGCGAATTTCTAGTTTGGTAGGAAGAAGAATCTTTGAAATCCTTTAACCTCTGCTAAACTGAGGGAGTATTAGAGTCAGCGGTAGATGGCTCTGGTGGGGATCGCTTGACCGGAGGGGAGTGGCACTTGAAAGGTATGAATTGAGCCGGTCCGGTGCGGCAATATCATTTAATAGGTCGGAGTTTGAAACTCGTTCAGGTAAACCCGAGCTCGGACTCGGCTTCGCATTCACTGTCATCCTCCTGTCAAAATGTGTTCACGGGGAAGCGTTTACGTGTTGTCTGAATTGAGTGGAAAGCTTTAAAAATGCAAGAACAACTTTACCCTTTCAGGACTTTCTCCCCCTGCCTTACCCTGGTCACTGCCTCACTGCATCCAAGTCAACGAGCCCGTCTCTCATTAGAGTACATTGAGTGCTCAAAATGGCCTTACCATCAGACCCCTTGAGTATCACCCATACGTGGACTCTCATCTTGACTACAATCGCCGCCTGCGTGGCAGGCACAGTCCTCCTAGTCATTTTGCGATTTCTTCGTCGCGACCTCCATCTTCAGGATCTTCAGGGACCAGTTGATAGTGCTTCGTGGTTATACGGTAAGCAGTTCTCAGTTTTGAGTCGTGCTGCTCATTTAATTTACTCTTTTGCGTCTAGGAAATCTTCCGGAACTTCTCCTATCGCAGCCCTACGGGAAGTTTGAATTTAAATGGCAAGAGCAGTATGGGTCCACATTTCGATTCAAGGGATGTTTCTCTGTACGTTTTTGTTCTATTCTTGGCCCGGGGTCGCTGTAGATAATCGACTCAACACGCGTGAGCAGGAGGACTTCTTGTTTACCTCCGATCCAGTAGCTCTCCGATACATTCTCAACGACCACAAATTGTTTGATTTCACACCTAACCGAAATTTTGCTGTGACTGTTAGTGCCGGAGAAAAGAGTATGTTATCTCTACAAAACGGTGGTAGGGGCATTCTGAGACTCTTTGTAATTCCAAATTCAATGTGGATGTGTTACTGTAGGAGAGACCCACCGTCGCATCAAAAATGCTTTTTCTTCAGTTTTTACTCCAGCACGTCTCCAGCCGTATGTCCCTGTTATGAGGGATATCGCTCGCAAAGTATCTGTCACGTCCTTACCTTCTGTGCGTTCTGTACAATAGGAGCACTGACCACAAATTCATAGGCCACCGAGAAGCTCATGCGGCAATACTCTGAGGGGAATGAACAATTCGCTACTATCGACATATATCACCTTCTTAGCCATGTAACGACAGATATTACTGGAGAGGGTAAGTGCTCCACTTCCATTATTGCTCTGAGTGCTTACTACGGTATCTCAAAGTCGGATTCGGCTACAAATTCAACGCTGTCGAGACGGATGGTAAAGGCCAAGTCGTTCAGAGTCACCAGAATATAGTGTACGTATGAAGATTTTCACAGAACGGGCCTCCATTGACGTTTTCGTCCCGCTAGCATACTAGGGTCAAGGCGTTCAAAGGGTGCAGTTTTAGGAGAGGGGATTGTATCTTATCTTCCCCGAGTGCTACTGAAACCTATGTACCACCTTCCCACGGCCGATTTTACGACACTTCGCAGTTTCCTTAAAGTCACCAGGGCATGGGGTGCAGCGCGACTCTCAGACACCTTGAAGGCTGAGAACGACACAGATAACGGGTTATTTGGTTTTGTCGGTATGTGCGTGCCTACTCTTGACTTTTCAATGTCCTTGAGAAGTATATCTAGCGTCTGCGAACTTGAAAACTCAGAAGGAGGGACGTCTTTCTGACGTCGATCTAATCGGCGAACAAACCCCGACACTTCTAGTTGCGGGACAAGACACAGTTGTAAGTGGTCCCGCCAAGTCTCAGCGTATCGCACGGACTTATGTCCCGGTCGATAGGCAAACTCATTGTCGTGGGCCATATATGAACTTGCAAAACGACCGTCGTGGCAAGATCAGGTTCGGAAGGAGATCATGGAAACTAATAACACCGCGGTAGATATAAACTTGGATAAACTCAAGTACCTCAATGCGCACATCAAGGTGGTTTTCATTGGCGTTCACTATTTGCCTTCGCCTGACTGGTGTATTATTATTTGAAAGGAAAGTCTCCGGTTCAGTCCGACTGTACCTCTTACAGAGAGGATGGCTTTCGAAGATACTGTTCTCCCTCTATCTCGGCCCCTAACCACGACTACTGGTGTTATCACTGAGGTTCCAATCAGGAAAGGTCAGATAATTCATCTTGGACTAGCTGCCTTCAATCGGTAAGTCTATTCCGAGTCGCTACCCCTTCGTTGAACCGCTTCAAAAAATGAATTGATCGAAACAAGGAACCGCCATGTTTGGGGTCTGGATGCCATACAATTTCATCCGACACGATGGCTCGATGGTCGATACGACGCCGGAAATCTTCCCTCTACAATAGGACCGTATTCTAGTTTGTAGGTATTCTTACTGGAAGGTATGGCTTCAGTGTGGATTCTAATCGTACCTCTAGGGCTTCGTTCTCAGGAGGAGCTCGCATGTGTCTCGGGTGAGGGCTTTCTTTCATCCACTTGCTAATTCGCTAAAGTCTCCACGATCAAGTTGGCGGCTGGGGTGTGTAAGCCACTGATTCCACTCCTGTCTTTGATCTGATGAGCCATTCTTTGATAGGATCCTCGAGATGCAGGTCGTCCTCGTAGAACTTTTAACAAACTTCCGGTTCAGTTTAACGCCCGAGCAGGAGAATAATGTAACCTCTTCTCTTGCTCTGACCCTCGTGCCCTTCGATATGGGGAGCGGAACACCGAGGCTTTCACTTCTCGTGCAGCCGGTGACACAGAGCGCATGATCTTCAAAGTGAGTACATCTCAAACTTTTGAAAAAAATTACAGCTCTAACAGCTCGACCTCTACGATCAGGTACGTCAAATTACCAATGACCCGTTCTGCATTTGATTACAGCACTAGGCGGAAAGCAATTGGACGACGATGCGAACCGACACATTTCCCACTTTCTCGCAGACAAAAATATTGAATGTCGTGGATGCTCAGGGCGGGTTACTAACTTGCCAGAGTGTGTCGACAATACACCTAATGTTACATTTGGCTATGCTTTTTGAAAACATGTTTCTCTTCTACAGAGAGCCGAAACTTGAGTATCCCATGAGCTATCGCAGTGGCAGTCGTAAAATTTGGTGAGGTCCACCATCGCCAACCGGTTGTTCAACTCGACACTCGACAGATCGCTGTGTCTCCCTCTTGCTTTCCTTTTCGCAAGAGACCAGCCCTCCAGATGCATCTCTTCGAGTTCACCCCCCGCCATCAAACTCTGTTGAGTCATTGGGAGTTGACGCAGGAGTATTTGCTCCCTCAAGACCCTCTCTACGTAGTCAAAATATATCCGTCGATTCTCGTCTCAGAAGTTTTTGCGAGTTGTCAGGTTCGATGGCGTTTTGGGGAGCGAGCAGGGTTGCAATGTCAGTCGTGTGTTGGTGCTCGGTAGCGGTCAGTCACGGTAGACGTTTCCTGTGATAGAATTCGGACGAGATCATGAAAGAACAAACCGAACACGAAAGGCGTCCTATAGGGGAATTCCAATTCCAATTCTACCATTTGGTTCGCATTCAAACTGCTCGAAGTTCAAGGTGATTAGAAGGGGTTTGGAACAATAACCTGCCCCAGTCCAGCTTCTAGTTTCTGTTGGGATGAGCGTTTGATATGATTGCTGAACCTTTGGGTTTAGCTACCCAAGGCAGAA